TTCTAGGCTGGGAATGTAACTCAGTGGTAGAACGCTGGCCTAGCATGTGCAAGGTCTTGGGTTCAATTCCCAGCACCAAGGGGGAAAAAAAAACTTTTAGTCCGTTGAGAGTGGTACATGCCTATAATCCAGCTACTCAGGAGGTTAAACAAAAGGACCCAAGTTCAAGGCCAACTGGGCAACTTAGTGAGATCCTGTCTCAAATTTAAATTTTAAAAAGAGCATTTGCCTAGCATTCACAAGGCCCTACATTCATCCCCAAGTTTTGTCAAAAAAAAAAAAAAAAAAAAGTCCACTTCTAGGCCTAGGCCAGATATTCCATACCTTGTTATATTCTCTCTAATACTTAGCAGCAATGTGTTCAGAGTAACTACAGTGAATAGTTACAATTTCCAATGGTAGGCACAAGAAAAAAACCTTCTGTATACCACAGGTAAGTCACACAACCTCCTCCTTCATTTCCCATTTAGCAGTGACTGACTGACCCAGGCTCTAAAGCCAGACATACCTGGGTTCAAATCTTCACTCAAATTATTTAACTTCTTGAAGCCATTGTTAGCTGTAAAACCCTAAAGATTTGTTGCAAAAATGAAATGAAAGTACTTAATACATGGCAATAACCACTCCAAAAACATTTTAGTTATTTTTGTTCTGAACATTCATAAGTTATTATTTCATACACAAGCCAAAAAACCCTGGTTCCTGTGAACTTTTAAAGAACACTGTAGCCAGGCATGGTGATACACACCTATAGTCCCAGTGACTGAGGAGGCTGAGGCAGGAGGACTGCCAAGTTCAAAGCCAGCTTCAGTAATTTAGTGAGACCATGTTTCAAAATTTAAAAAAAAAAATAGGGGGAGGATTTCCAATTCTTGGGTCCCCTTCTTCCTCCGGGAGAAGTCTTTTCTGCTGTCCTTTAATAAACTTCTAATTTCTACTCTGAAAAAAAAAATAAATAAAAAAAATAAAAATAAAAATAAAAATAGGGCTGAGAATGTGACTCAGTGGTTAGCATCTCTGGGTTCAATCCCAAGTACAAAAAAACAAAACAAAAATAACATTGTCGAACTTACTCCATTCTATCTAAAATAAATAAGAACAGACAAGAACCATAATAATCACGATTGCTTTTTATCCACTGTCATCACCCCAATGGAGTTGATACCAAACACAATTCCAGATACCCGACTTAACATCAGCTCATGTAATCTATTCAGCTACAGTAAACCTACAAACGCATTTAAATCTTGACTCTCATCTTTTTCTCTTCAACTGCTTTCTGCACATCCGTGCTGCTAAAGAGAAAAGTCTCCTTTCTCTCCAGGACTTCTGTACTTTACAGCAACAGTGCCCAGATGGTGACTAAGTCAAAACAATCATCCAAAAGCAAAACAAAACATCTTAGAAGGATTCATAAGAGAATGTTTAAAAGGCTAAAATTTGTTCTGATCCACAGAAACCTCTGACAAGTACCTTAAGGACATTTAACCTGAAGATATTTCCAAATCACTGTACTGTTACAAACAGAATCTGAAGAGCAATAGCCCTGTCATACCAATTTTACGCTTAATTCCAATCTCCAGAAAGTAATTCCCCTTTATCTTTCACTCTCTGAATCCCAGAGAATCCTAAGAGACACCAGAAATATCCAACAGGGTTCTTCTTTAAGAGTTCGTTTCCAACACAGGTTTCTATCACACCAAGAAAGCACAAAAATGCCTGACTCTTTCTCCACCCTCACCCAATCTTGCTCCCCACATTGCAGTCAAAGTGCTCCCTCACCTCAGGAAGACCGCCCTTGCAAGCAAGACAAGCTTCCCCTCACTGCAGCAAGGAAGCCCCAGAGTGACTCACACTGTGGACACAGGAAGCACCCACCTGCTGCATCAATTCAGCTGCTTCATCATCGCCATTGCCTACACCAGGATTCTTTCGCACCACCCCTGGGCCAGCCTTAGGAGCCGCAGTAGTTCTCTGTGTTGAAATGGGTCTCTGTGGGGCTGAGAGAGGATTAGACATTTTTAATAGGAAAAATTTTTTTAATATTTTTTTTAGTTTTAGAGGGAAACATATAATTTATTTTTTTATGTGGCATTGTGGCTTGAACCAGTGCCTCACACTTGCTAGGCAAGCGCTCTGCCACTGAGCTACAGCCTCAGCCCCTAAGAGGAAAATTTTAAAATACAAGTTCACAGGACAACAAAAGACATTCAGTGAAGGGGACCAACGTTAAGGAGCCCCACATGTAGGACACGCCCTACATTTGCCTAAAGTTGTTTTTATTCTGACAGCATAGTTAAGTATCAATTTTAGCCACACTCTGTCATGCTTAGAACAAATCCAGTGAGGTCTTTTCTCTGCTGTGTTAACAAGAGAGTCATCTGAAAGAGGCACAGTAGTTCTGGTGCATACAGACAATCTACCTTACCCCAGCTCTAACCAAATCCACAAACAGGACAGTTTCATGGACCAAAGGCAAACTTCACACCAATACATCACAACCCCACCTACAGCTGTATATCCTCTGCTCCCCATCTGCAAAACTAGATCCTCAAACTTCTTGGATTAAGAGAAAGAAGTCTGTAAGAATGGCAGAGCCTATTCTTACCATTATGACTTCAAACCTCTATCTCTGCCCACCTCCTAGAAGACACTCAGAAGGGTCAGAAGAGAAATGTTTCTCACTGATGAGAATTTACAGACTTCTCTGAGTATTTATAGCCAAACACAGACAATGTAATAATACATTAACCTGTCTACAAGCTAAAATAATCCAGAATGAGTTACCTCAATATCTTATTCGTGATTTTACTTATTCATTTAGCAATTATTCTATAACATTACACCAGGCCTAGAAATATCTAATCTTCCTGATACCCCACACAGGCTTTTGCCCACAGTAACGGGCATTTCCTCTGGATGGCTCTCTCTACAATGTTTATCCTGAAAACTAAATGTTTACTTCAAGTCTCCTCTCAATTGTCAGCAACACCTGAAATATGAAATACACAAGGTAACCTAAGCAGGTGCCCATTCTGTACAGCTGAAGAATAAAAGCATGCAGTATCTGGGGAAATTGGAAACCTCATATACTGCTGATGGTACTGTACATAGTTCAGCCATTTTAGAAAGCAGGCAGCTCTACAAAAAGTTAAGTATAGTTACCATATGGCCCAGGAATTCTGCTCCAAGATATATACTCTTGGATATAAACCCAAGAGAAATGAGAACATGTCCACACAAAGAACTATACATGAATCTTGACAGCAGCATTACTCACAATAGCCAAAAAGTAGAAACAACTCAAATGACCATCAGCTGACAAATAAATGAGGTACAATCATATAACACAATATTATTCTACAATAAAAAAGAATGAAGTACTGATAAATGCTATAGCATAGATGAACCCTGAAAACATGCTAAATGAAAAAGCCCAGACATGGGCTGGGGGTATAGCTCAGCTGGTTGAGTGCTTGCCACACATGCACAAGGCCCTGGGTTCAATCCCCAGGACCACTGGGGGGGAAAAAAAAAAAAAGGCCAGACACAAAGACCACATATTCTATAGTTTCATTTACACAAAATGTCCAGAACAAGCAAAACAATAAACAGAAAGTAGATCAGGGGCTGCCTAGGGCTTGGGGGAAGGCAGAAGAGCTGGGAAATGAAAAGTGACTACTATTAGGAACACAGAATGTTTCTGTTTGGGGTGATAAATATCATCTACAATTGTCTGCTATAATGGTTACATGACTTTTTTTTTTTTTTTTTTTTTTTTGGTAGTACTGGAGATTGAACCCAAGGGAACTCTACGACTGTGATATAACCCCAGCCCTTTTTATTTTATTGTCAGACAGGGTTTCACTAAATAACCCAGGCTGAATTTGGAATTTACAATCCTCCTGGCTCAGCCTCCCAAGTAGCTGGATTACTGGCATTGTGTCACTGCACCCAGTCACAACTCTTCAAATGTACTTTAAAAAAAAAAAAAAATTTAAACATTTTAAACAAGTGAAATATATAGCATGTGAACTATATGTCAACTAAAGCTATTTTAAAAGTACTTAATCTATCCTCTCTACCGGATGATCAGACTCTCTCAAGATACTGTGGGATCTTAATATTCTTGTCATCTTCTGGAAAAGGAGGAATGAAGCACCTGTAAAACATATAACATGCCCCAACAAATACATATAATCTGTGTATATACTACTGCAAAACATCTTGGGAAACCTATCAGCTAATACCATCTTCAGAAATCTCTTAAAAAGCCCCTCCCACTGCCTCCCAGACTATGTATCAGAGCAAGCTACAGCCACTCAGAGTTCAAGCCCTCAGGAAGCAGGGAAGTCAGGAGTAAGCACAAAACTATAGACTAGCCAGCAGGATGATGAAAACAGCCTACGACAACCCACAACCTAGAAGGCTCCTTTGGGTGCTAGAAATTCAGGAACTCAGATTGTAACATGCCTGGGAAGCTCTGTGAAATGCCTGAGTTTTCCCCACATAGATAAAACTCTCTTATGTGAGCTGAGGGTTTCTATTCCACACAACTGAAGAGCTTTCACATAATAACATAAAGTAATTTGTTCAGGTCTCAAAAACAGCCTCTGGCCAAGGACTAAACTTCCCATTTTACAGAGGAAGAAACTATGGGGAAGAAGTGAAGGGGCTCAAACAGGGTTGCACAGAACAAACACAATTTGCCTCAAGGCAGAATCAATGCTCTTGTCACATGCCAGGGATTATGCTTTAGAAGATTCTCAAGCCTATGTTTACTTAAAAATTCTAATTGAGATCCAGGTGTGCACACCTATAATCCCTAGATAATCTTGGGAGAAGGTAAAGGACTACAAATTTAAGACAAGTCTTGGCGACTTAGCAAGACCCTGTCTCAAAGTTT